GCTCCGCTCCCGCGGCCTGTCCACGCGAGGAGGCCATGGGGCGCGGATTTAAAAAAACCTACGTGGTTCGGGGCACGAAGCCGGGCGAGATGCGTGGGTCAGCAGCGAGGGGATCTGGGGACGGAGGGCACCCCACGTCACCCGCGGGACCCGTTTCACCCGTGGCTGGGGCACGGGGAGCCCACGTGGGGCTGGCCGGGGAGCTCCGGCCTGGCTGGTCGGGGCTTTGCTCCGGGGTTGGCAGCAGCGGTCAGACGCGGAGGCACGGAGGGAGCGTCGCGGCTGAAGAAACGTCCACAGTGACATTTCAAAACCAGCTCCGCTCAGCGAGTCAGGTAAGCAAATCCCTGCCCCAAGCGGGAAGTAGGGACAGGAGCCACGGAGTGGGAGAGACAGATTTATTATGTTTCTGGGAGCAGCGCCTTTACATCTCGCTTGGGATAAGGTCACCTCCCTGCAGCCAGAGCAGGGAGATGGGACAGGATGTTTATTCGAAGCGACGGAACAAGAAGCTGCAGCCAAGACCCCGGGGTCTGCTGACAGCACGGGGCTCCATGTGTCACCGCAGCGACGGCAGACGGGAGGGCTGGCATTTGCCAGAGCCACTTGCAAAATATCTTTCTAGCGACATACTCGAGGGCCAGGGCATGTCATAGGAGTCGGTGCAGCCTCTCTGCTCCCACGGGGAATGGGAGGGCACAAGACAAGAATAAATACAGTTTTCAAAGGCCCCCCCGACCCCGCACCCGCTGCTACATGGCCTGGCGAAGGCATTTACAGGAGGAAATCTGTCAGCCAGAATCCAACAAACGAGTAGACATGTCTGGGAGGGGTTTAAGGCCGGCTCGTTCGCATCCTGATCTCCTCAACCAGGCTCTCCCTGCGAACGTTGACCTACACAGGGGGAGCACAAAGTTGCTTCAATACAACACAAGCAGCTTGATGTATCATGACCTTCTCTGGTCCCAGAAGGATGGCCCGCACCGCATTCGTGGCCCTGTGTCTCATGAGATCACACCATGGTGCTGTCATCAGTCCCTCTACAGGGATCGAGCGGGCTGCAGCCCATGTGGAGCTGAACCTGCGAGAGCAAGCACCTGCCTGCAACCCTGCCGAGCCCTCTCCTGCCCAACGATCATGAGAGTGATGCTCTTTCCCACTCTTTCCTACTGGTTCCAAAGCCAAGACCAGTGCATAGATCAGCACCGGTCCCACTCATTCCAAGAGGGCACCTCCAGGACCTTCAGCGATGGTCCTGGGCCCTGGACAGAGAGTGTGAGCAGCCATACAGCCCACTGAATCACACCTCTGTGTTCCAGGCTCCTGAACCAAGGAATAGGTGGGAGTTCAAGGAGGCCACATGATGGGAAACTCTCCAGAGCTGGAGACAACGGTGCTCTACAGCTCCAGGAAACTGCATGGGGCAAGGAACTGGAACGTGAGGTGTTACAGAAGTCCCTGGCGAGACCACTGCTTGAAAAGAGCTAATGAGGAGGCCAATGTATAAAATCCTGAAAACCTGTTATAAGGGGCTTGGTGGCAAACTGACACCAGGGCACACGCGCCACAGCAAGTCAAGAGGGGCTGAGGAAACACACCTCACCCAGTCTCCAGAAGTGCACCCACAAGGCCACCACCATCAGTCCATAGGCCTCACCTCGAGTCTGCCAGCCCTGGCTCACGCCCCTCTGCCTACTGCGTGTGGAGAGCCTTCCCCTCACCGCACCTTCTGCGTAAGCAGCTTTGTTAAGCCTTGGAGGCTTTTCACATCAGGTGGAATTGCCTTACTCCTCTGATCTCCCCTTTGGGCACTACACTCAAAATGTGGGCCGGCAAAACCACCTTGCCGTGTACAACCTGAGGGCACCGCTGCAGCGCGGGGTACGGATGGGTCTGGAGGGCTGGCCTGAGCTGGGATGAAGGGTCAAGGAGCCAATCCCCCTCACGCCAAGCTACCACGGGCCTCACCTCCTCCCTGGTTGCCACGACCCGCAGCTTGACGACTCCATCCTTGAGCTCCTGCTCACCCACAATGGCAACAAGAGGGATGCCCGTGTCCTCACAGTACTGCAGCTGATTCAGCAGCTTGGGGTTCTTCTTGTACAGCACTTCGGCCTGGAAGAGAACCAGAGCAAACCACCATGATCAGCACTGGCCTGTTTCTCTGCACCCCCTCAACCAGGCATTGCTGGGCCAGTCTGCTAATTGCCATCTGGTGAGCGTGGGGGTGTGTGGTGGAGGAGAAGATGGGCTAATGGAGAAGGCTGGGCATTACAGCTAACGAGTAATGCAACACAGCTCAAAGGTGCTCAGAAGACACTGCTTATCTTGGGGAAGCACCAGGACATTAGCTCTAGTCCATGTCAGACCAGGGCTGACACCTGTGGTGTCCCTACAGGGTCAGGAGCCTGGCAGAGCACCCGTTCTCCTCCACTCAGCCATCAAGGGAGTCTGCGTGCAGCAGGCAGGGAGCAGGGCCCTGCCACACAGCTTGCCTTCGGCCTGCGGAAAGCAGCCCAGGCTCCTCCCTGGCCCCGCTCTCCCCTCCTTGCAAGGCTCCGCGGTTTTTTTGCTTTTTGATGGAAGTGGCACAGTATCTGAGCTGCCACGCAGCAAGGGCTGGAGTGTCGCCTGCTTTGGGAATCTGTCCTGAGGTAACAGACACAGAGCAGCCCCTGCAGGGCTACGGGGCTAAGTCATGCTGCCCAGCCCTTCCTGGAGAGCACCTGATTCGGGACACTGAGAAGAAGCAGGCTCCATTCAGGAAGGCAGTCCGTTGCCCATCTTCTCCCTATGACTCCTTCCTCCCAAAGCAAAGCCAGATTTGGTCCATTCCTGGCACAGAGAGTGCACCAGGCAGCTCCTGACTTTGCCACCACTTGGTCATACCTTGATTCCAGCATCCCACAGCTCGGAGATGAGCTTCAGCCGCTCTTCAAGGAGCTTCTTTTGGGCAGAGGCCACCAGCACCTGTGTCTCTGTTGTCCTAATCTTTTCCTCAGAGGCCTAGAGAGGGGACAAGACTCAAAAGATGCTATGGACATACAGAGATATCTGACACCCTATGAGCAGGACGGGTCACCACCCCAGGCCCATCAGTTTAGCAGTGAAGAGGATCAGGCTCAGTGGGATGAACAGCATAAACTCAGGAGAGTCAGTGAGGCCCCACAGACCCCATCCTGGAACAGAGTCTCATCTTCTGCAGCTGTTTCATGATGGGGGCTTAACATAGCCTCCCTCCTGTGCTGCAGGTATGCGCAGATTGGAAGATATGCTGAGAATGAGCAATTTCCCTGCCAGCTTCTGCCTAGAGACTGTTCCTCCACACCCAAGGGCCTCCCAGGGATCTGCTCCAAGCAGCTCAGGAACAGCAAGCCTGGCGGAAGCTGGACAGAGGCAGCAGCCTGCTCTACAGCTGAGCTGGTAACTATGGATTAGATAACAGCAGCAAGCTGAGATGCTCCAGCGCTGTCAGGAGCCACCTGCTCCCGTGGTAGATGCTGGATACTCAAAGTGGCATTTTCCTGCTGCTGCTTTGGCTGAAGGGAGAAGCCTTTAAAAGGTCACTCGCAGAGGAACAAACCTGGCCAGGACTGGAGGTGGTGGGGGAAGAATTCAGTTTCCACTTAGAAATCTCGGTTGTGTCTGGCTGCCAAGAGAGAACTCCCCACAACAGGCTTCTGGGGGAGGGAAATGTGCAGCAGTGTTTTCGGAGCTTACAAAAACCTATTTAA